GTCTGTGTAATCAGATGCACTCATATGAGCATTGTGACAGTGAATGTTCTTATATATATTGCTATTTATAGGACCAGCTATAAGCCAGCCAAACTTAGAATTTCTTAGTTTAGGATGATCTTGACCAAGACATTTTTCTTCACTTCCTAGAATATCCCAAAAAATGTCAGCTCCTATCAATAAGTCCACTGGTGCAGGGATATGAAAGTCAGGGTCAGCTAATTGTAAATTTGAAGGAATAAAAATGTTTTTTAAATTAACAGGAGATTGAGGAAGTTTTCCTGTTAACTCATCTAAAACATAGCAAGAAGTAATGATGTTGTAAGAATCATTATTTGATTTTATTTGTGTAGTACAAATCTCAACAACATTCTTTGACAATTGATTGCCAATACCTATGACATTAAGTGAATCAATAGATTTAGAAGCTAAAGATAACTTTTCTTTAAGTGTATTTGAAATGAAGGTGGATTGACTTCCACAATCTAAGAGTGCTCTAACATTCAATGATTGATGTGTAACAGGGTTGCAAACCCTTACAAGTGCAGTAGATAGAAGAACTTGATTTGATGATTTTGTAAAATTAACCACTGACTGTGATTGGTTAGAAGTGAGATCAGTGACTAAATTTACTGAACTTTTAGGATCATGTAGTAGAGTGTTATGACGTTTCTTGCATTCACGACAAGGTCCTAAGCGACAGTTTGATGTGGTGTGTCCTTGTCTCAGACAGTTAAAGCAAAGTTCATGAATCTTTACTTCCTTTAAACGATCCTCAAAACTTTTAGATTTGAATATGGGACAATTATATATTCGGTGATCACCCTTACAAACAACACATGGTGGAATTTTCACATAAACATTTTTATCAGTTGTAGCAGTGAATGACTTTGTGGTTATATCTTTATTATAATGTTGATTAGTATTAGACCGTGGTACAAAACGTGGTGTTATCCGTTTGTGCTCCTGTGTAAGTTGTAAAGCCTTATTATGATTCAAGGATTCTAGAACGTCTGCACGGTCCGATAAGAATCTCTGAAATTGTTCCAATGTTGGGACATCCTCAAATGTATTGCGCAACTCTTCCCATTTAGTAAGGGTGTTACTGTCTAGTTTAGAAGTTAACATAAATATCAATAAAACATCCCATTTATCAGTTGGTTGCCCTAAGCTGGATAATGCTCTCAAATTCTTAGTCACATGATCAACCAAGTATCTTAAAGATTTTTCAGACTCTCGAACAAGCTGAATGTTAAATAATGAGCTAATATGGTGATTAATTAACAGACGTTTGTTATCATATCTGTCACATAGCAATTTCCAGGCCTCAGCATAATTATTTGTGGAGACCTCAAGATTGGATACTAAGCGGGCTGCATCACCATCTAGATAAGATAACATATAGTGAAATTTGTGAATTATGGGAATACGGTCGTTGTTGTGAACAATAGAGGTAAATGTGTCACGGAATTCCAACCAGCGGAAATATGAGCCATCAAACTTTGGCAGATGCATTTGTGGCAGCTTGAATCCGATATAATTTTGATCATGATGACACTGAATGTTCTGAGCTATTGAGTCACGTCTTGACGACTCAGAATGAGTCTCAAGCAAGGCCTTGGCATTGGCAAGGTTAAGAATGATGGTAGTTTCAATGTCATCACGATCTTGGATTTCATTCTCCAAATTTTCAAGGTTGAGAACCTCGATCTCAGTCTGCAACTCATCGAATCTGGTCGAAAGGGCTTCAAGTTTGCTAATTTTCAAAGTAAGTTCAGTTAGTTGAACATTAGTCAAATGAGACAATTTGGTTACATTGTCTACATAGTTTTTAAATTTAGTTAACTGGCCTTTGATAGAGCTACGTTTAGCTACTAATTCCTTCAATTTAGATGAGAGAGCTTTGTCTTCCTTGTTAGACATTTTGATTTTGGAGAATACTTATAAAATTAAAATGGCTCACGCTCCTCAAGTCGACGACACCTTTTTGCAGTTGATGTGTCTGAGAACTGGTATACGTCTTCCAGGGGTTGTTCCATCCAAGAGTCCAGGATCTTGTCCCTGTTCGGGCGCCAAAGTTTGTATCTGATGATACAATGAAATCCCGTTGTTTGCTTTAACGAGACTTTATTTTATATTTGTACAATAATTTGTTTAGAGTAGAGATGTTTAGTTTGTATTTTGACGAATTACATGAAGTAATTAAGTATAGAAGCAAGAAGCTTGTATAAAAAAAATTAAGTAGGTAGAAAAAGAAGCGGGAACGACATTGTTCCTCGTAAAAGTGTTAGGAGACAGATTATATTTTAATTACAGAGTAGTTAGCTTAATATAGATTATAGACGACACGCAGATACGGCAAAGGCGTTAACAATTATTATTAAACATATATTTTACAAATCGTCTTTTTTTATTGTTTTAATGGGAGGATAAGATCACGGCCGACCTGGTGCTTAGTGGTAATGAGCAGGGCTCTGAAACTTCGATACTTTAAGACAAATATTTTTCTGTATGGAAACTAGCGATATCTTGTAGCGAATGCCCTTAAACTTGTATGTTGTTAAATTTAAGGCATTTAATTTTTGTATAATTAAACACAGAAAATAAAAAAATATACAAGCCTTTATTTGTTATAGACAAATTGATTAAATTTTATCAATTTGTGGTTTCTGAAAATTTACAAAATTCTTCATTAGAAATGAAATATAGGATAGTTAATATGCTACTGCCATCTACAGCAGCAATTAGAAACTAATCGAAGCGAAGCCATCTAGTGGCCGACGCCCGTAAACATGTTTGATGAGTCCTTAAGTTGCTTATCTATAACCAATTTATGTGTATTATCTATGTTCAACTTGTCCACTATACAAGACGGTCCCCCTTGCTTCTACACTCCACAATACAACTAAAAGTGACAGAAACTAATTTACGGACTACCCTTCCTTTTACACCCACCTCACGCATATCGATTACATTATGCTACACCGGTGACTCCGATGCAATCTGCGTGCTTACTGCGAGTTTTTTAACGTTCTCGATAGCGTAAAAGTTAACTCAAATTTGTATGGAGTTCGAACAGCGCCCCTAGCGGAAAACGTGAGCAAACGTTCCAACTCCATACAAATATGAGTTAACTTTTACGCTATCGAGAACGTTAAAAAACTCGCACTAATCAAACAGGAATCTAACTTACAAATTCATTTATTTACATAATTTTAATACGAACTCTAAAGATTGTGGGCATGTTAAAGGATTACTCGGTGGTTTGAGATAAGCATTGAAAGCATGTCATTTATCTTATTTAATTTATCTTATTTACTAATATCTACAAACGTCACTGACATATCCCAACATGAAATTAAAGGTAGACACTTAAAGCAAACATATTTGTAGCGTTTTTAAAGATAACTATATAGCCGTACTCGCCCGTTTCGCTAGGCATTTAAATATAACATTATTATTTTTTGTCATTATTATTATTAGGGAGTCCAACACTCATATAAATCATTAATTAAAGTATTTTCTACATGGATACCAAGTTTCAAGTCAATTGAATGCACGGTTCAGTAGTTATAACGAAATATCCGTAAAAACCACTGTAAATAGATTTATATATTAGTATAGATCAGCCTTTCCCAAAGTAGAAGATAACGCCCCCTTGTGGGCGCTGCAATCCTAAAGGGGGGCGGTAAGAGATCCAGAAAAAAAAGGGGGCGTTGTGTAGAGGCTTTGTTGGCTATTTGTAATTTAATCTAGGAAGACTCTTAGACACCGACTGAGCTCCCACTATAGTAGTTTTGAAGTTGGTGAAAAAATGGGAACACTAAAACACAATTTATTCTCAAAGTGAGCAGTAGACTAAATAAGTTTGGGAGCCCCTGGTATAGACGATTGCGTTTTTATTGAATTAGTAGCCATACCAGACGAGCGGCCCAATTGGTGGTTAGTGTTTACCGTCGCTAATCAAAATTAATAATGCTAGGAGCTGGCTAGCGCTACATTACATTATTTAAATAGGTTTAATTTTTTTCCCTACCTATTCGCTAGTAGGCTAAGAGGCTATTCCAGCTACGCCTTGACGGGTAAGTGAGCTCACGGGTTCAACCTGAGAGCATTTGCTAACACTAGCCCTAGCAAAAGCTGTGCGGAATCTACCACCGGATCGCGACCCACTGAGAAGATCCGGCGTGAAAGTTAGCGGGCTGTGTGTTTAGCCCCATGGACCAGTGGTCGGCAAACCACGGCTCTCGAGCCTCAGCTCTTTGTCCTCGGCTAAGGCCCTTTCATGAAACGTACTTAGTTCAAGCACGGAACATTACTTATTATCTTACTTAATAAGAGAAGAGTAGACAATTTGAAACACAAGACTATAAAAATATATGTTAAAAATTGGCTCTTTGAATAAATTTCAATTGTGTGTTATCTTTAATTGGCTCTTTTGATTGACAAGGTGACCGACCACTGATGTGCCTGTTTCTTCGTTGACTTATCCTAAGCAACAGTACTAATTTCGATACGATTTTCACTAATACAAAGAGCTATAAACGAGGAAGGTTTGTGCACTGCATTAACTGAGACCTTAGAACTCATGTCTCGAGTCTCGGTGTGGCTGATGTCCTTAGGCACAGGTAACCACTTAACACCAGGTGGACGTGAGATCGTGCTCTCATCCAACTAATTAAAGTAACTTTATGAGCCTAATTTCTTCAATGAAACCAAAAAAATCATTTACACCTTAGTATTGTTGCAATTTGATCTCAAACTAATTTGTTTGAAGAAGTGATCAAATAACACGATTTATTGACTAGAGATTGGTGCACAAAAATTTTAAAAACTCAATTCAAAGTGTACTTTAATAGAAAAAACAATAAATACATAATTTTAATTTCATTGAATGAAAACATTTCGTAATTCTAAACAACGATGGTTTGCATTAGTGTGATTTTTCTAAACTATTCACTACGATTTAATTTCACAGAATATAATTTCGAATTACTTACCTCGAGATCCAAATGACACAAAAGAAAATCGTACACGAAAACAAACACAACAACTCACAAACTCGTGAATTTGTTTTTTTAGATCGACGGTCGCAATTTACGGGCAAGTACGTGCATCTCTCACGACGGTCGGAAACAAACTGAAGAAGTGCTTGCTAAAATTCTGGGCGATGCAGCATTGGCTATTGGCCTATTGGACATTAGCTTATGCCTTCTAGCGCAAGTCCGATGCAGTGGATATCTTTTAGAAAAAACTCCGAAAATCATCTTGATATAAATAAACATTTGCACAACACTATTTAATGTAGGTATAGATTCGGCAACTTATTTCTGAACGAATTGGTAGTAACATTTAAAAATTAGACTCGCAATCTAGTGTGTTGTTATTATTCTATTCAATATACTACATTCTTACTATTTTTTATTATTATTTTTCTTTTACTCTGATAAACGTTTGTATATATAATATGTATGAGAAGTTGTAGGTATATAGATATATTATTATGTGTCAATTTTATATTTTTAATAAGATATTGTAACCATTTTACATTTTTTTTTCTGATAAATTTTATTTTTCTCTGATAAACGTCTTATATTTTTATGCTGTGTATAAACGTATACAGAATTGTATACAGATGTACGAGAAGTTGTAGGTATATAGATATAATAATAAGTGTAAATTTTATATTATTAATAAGATATTATTATAATAATGTGTACGTTGTTGTATGTTATGTTTATATATTTAAGCCGTGTGTTTGTTTGTATATATAATATTATTATTATTATTAACTTTTTCCCAAAAAGGAATCCCCTTACCATAGGACTCTCTACACCACACTTGGTTGACTGGTAGAGAATGACTCAGGTATAAGTCCGCCATTGTACCTTTGTGCGTAGAGCTGAATAAATAAATATATTTAAAAGTGACAAGTCAATATTGTATTGTTTTTTTTTTAAGTTTCAAGTTTCAAGCGCCATCTTACTTTACGGTACTTTAGATCATACATTTCTGGTGTGCGCTCTTAATGATGAATGGCCCACCACTATATTGTTTACACTAACATCCCGTTCCCAGTTAATATGAACTATCTCGGTGTTATATTAGTTAAAACGAACGGTAGGCAGCGGCTTGGCTCTGCCCCTGGCATTGCTGAAGTCCATGGGCGACGGTAACCACTCACCATCAGGTGGGCCGTATGCTCGTCTGCCAACAAGGGCAATAAAAAAAAAAAGAAAAAATAAAAAAAAATTAACATTCCCTAATCCTAAAGCTGTAAATGCATTAACTTATTTTATTTCACGCAATAACATTGAACTGTAAAAATATTTACAAATTCTTCTCCCATTCTCATTCTTCGCAGCTGCTATCATCTATCTATATCACTGATATTCTATCTACCTGACATTGACAGAGTCATTCGTCAAAGAAGAGACTTGAGCCAGTAAATAAAAAAAATTAAAAAAATGCGCAATCTGATCTTACGAGATAATAGTTTCTTCAGCTTCCTCGGAAGTCGTCGTGGCCTAAAGGATAAGACGTCCGGTGCATTCGTGTTGAAGCGATGCACCGGTGTTCGAATCCCGCAGGCGGGTACCAATTTTTCTAATGAAATATGTACTCAACAAATGTTCACGATTCACTTCCACGGTGAAGGAATAACATCGTGTAATAAAAATCAAACCCGCAAAACTATAATTTGCGTAATTACTGGTGGTAGGACCACTTGTGAGTCCGCGAGGATAGGTACCACCGCCCTGCTTATTTCTGCCGTGAAGCAGTAATGCGTTTCGGTTTGAAGGGTGGGGCAGCCGCTGTAACTATACTGAGACTTTAGAACTTGTATCTCAAGGTGGGTGGCGCGTCTACGTTGTAGATGTCTATGGGCTCCAGTAACCACTTAACATCAGGTGGGCCGTGAGCTCGTCCACCCATCTAAGCAATAAAAATAAAATAAAAAAAAGCTATTAATCACAGGAGACTATTAATTTTATATCACAATTTAGGCATTTACTTTGTAATCTATGAACTTAAAACCGCGCATCATCAGAGTAGCAACGACCACGCCACTCGTCCCGGCTATTTAAAACCAAAGCTCACAAAGCATTAATTCCTCGAAACGCGAAAATTCATTCTCTCATTTCTTATCACACGTAAACACGTGCCGTAAATAAATTAATATCAGAGATGTTTATTTTTAAATTTCGTTGATGATTTTTTTATTGCTTGTATGGGTGGACGAGCTCACATAACACCTGGTGTTAAGTGGTTACTGGATCCCATAGAGATCTACAACGTAAATGCGCCACCCACCTTGAGATATAAGTTCTAAGGTCTCAGTATAGCTACAACGGCTGCCCCACCCTTCAAACCGTAACGCATTACTGCTTCAGGGCATAAATAGGCAGGGCGGTGGTACTACCAGGAATTACGCAAATTAAAATCCAAAATTGTATTTGTTATTTTTGGTTCATTGTGTTTTTATTTTCTTCTACCTGATCGCCGGTAGCCTAAAGAGCTATTCCAACTACGCTGTAACTGGTAGGTGAGCTCACGGGCTCTATCTGAAAGAATTGCTAACACTTACCCTAGCGAGAACAGTGCTTCGCTGAATCTACCACTGAATTGGAATCGCGACCCACTGAGAAGATCTGACGAGAAACTCAGTGTGTCTATGGGCTAGTTTGCACGTCGAAGTTTTACTCATAATCTAGTTCGCCGCGAATGGTTAAAGGTGCTTCATCATCATCATCATCAGCCCTTATCTGCCCACTGCTGGACATAGGCCTTCCTCAATGCCTTCCACATAATGCGGTCCTCCGCCTTCCGCGTCCAACGACTTGAAGAGCCTAAATTAACCAAAAGTGCATTCGTGGAATCCGGTAAGGCATGTTTTAGGCGTTTTAGTTTTGTGCTGCCTCAAATTCAATGCAATTGGGTTATCCCAATATAATAGGCAGTATTCACATTGGCTTTGCTGGCGATTCTAAGCGACCCCCGAACCCGTCTACAAGAATACAACAATAACAGTTATAAAAATTAAAACAAAACTCTATCAGTATTTGAATATTACGGTAATACAAGTATTTGAATAGTACCGTGCATGGTATCAGTAGTTATAAATATTTAATGAACAGATATGATATGGATGAGGAGAGCCGCAGACCGGGCTCAGTGGTGTGGATTGGGAGAGGCCTATGTCCAGCAGTGGACGACTGTGGGCTGTTGATGATGATGATGATGATGATGAGATATGAGTAGAAGATTTATTTTGATAATATCCTGAAAAGCACCCCACGCTTTTTTACAATAAAATAATTTTTTCTTACACTATTTTTAATTCAAAATTATTAAAATTTATTTTCTATTTTTTGTTGAATTTTCTATAAAAGTGTATTTTGTTAGTTTTTTAAAACATTTTTTTTTCATTTTTTAGTTGAATTTCAATTTTTTTTATTTTATTTTTTCAATTTTTATTTATTTTGAATTGTCATCGGTCCTTAATAAATATACCATATTTCGAGTTAGTTCGACGTTTTGAAGGGGGTCAAAATCATGTTCAAAGATTTCGTTACATACTAACATACATATTTACGTCTGAATCTAATAAAAGCGTATTAAAATGTAAAATATTAATAAACTTGTTGTGAATTACATTGAAATGTTACTTTTTGATATTTTCGAAGCGATTTATATCGCATCTACGTAGTGGCTGACAATTTAGTCGGTCTATAAAAAGGCTTCACTAAGAACAGACTAAAGAAAATAAATTGGGGCGGCCATGACTCTCCACACGTCCGCGCTGCGGCGACATCGCTCGCAGGGCTGACTGTTTGTAGACAGTTAAATACAATTAAAATTACTTTTACGGTTTAATCTCGCATTTTTAAATGTGACTTTACTAATTCCGAAGTTTTACAGTTTCCATGGTAACGGACAAGTCGAGGATAATTTTATGTAAGAAATCGAACAGTAAAAGCTAGATACGATTAAAATTACTTTTACGGTTTAATTTCGCATTTTTAAATGTGACTTTACTAATTCCAAAGTTTTACAGTTTTCATGGTAACGGACAAGTCGAGGATAATTTGATGTAAGAAGTCGAACAGTAAAAGCTAGATACGATTAAAATTACTTTTACGGTTTAATCTCGCTTTTCTAGTAATTGTACTTTTTCCGAAGTTTTAAATTAACAGTTTTCATGGTCACGGACAAATCGAGAATAATTTAATGACAATAACAAACGCGTGATTAAATCGAAAAAGTAGTTTTAATTGTGTCTATAATTCACGGAAACCGAAGGAGATTTACAATACCTACTTGTATAATTAACTGACACTTTATTTTAAGAATATTATTAATGGTCATTTTTATATATTAATGGACACACTTATCGCAGAAATAATTTAAATAGGGCTATCAAATTCAGAGGTGAGCCTCTCAGGGAAGTAATCTTAGGTTTGGCGGTTGGGAATATTGATATTTTGGGGAGAGCGACTGAGTGAAAATCTTCTTCAATGCAATACGATCTCTTTCTCCCTCTTCCCCCTCTCTCCATCTCTCTCTTACTATTGTTACAATATCGACCGGAAGAAAGCGGAATTGTCGTAACTTAAAAAACCCAACTTTACACCAGAGCCATATATACATATATGTATGTATATATTACAGTAAATGCCCGTCAATATTCACGTGACGTTTTCAATCGCATCCAGTCTCATAAGCGACCTAAAAAGTGATCTATTCCATCAGTTATTCGACCGTAGTACATATTCAAACACACAATTTCAAATAATACTTTCTAAGTACCGGCATCAATCAGACATGCGTCAATAAGCAAATGTGAAGAAATTGTTTTCGGTTCTCATCGTAATGGATTATTCATGTTCAGAGATTAAGAGATAACGTTCTATGCGTATTTTACGTACTCTTTGTTCAAATCCTGTAAAAGAAAATACGCAGTTACTGATGGGCGTAAAATAGCTGCGGACGGGGCAGAGTTGCTAGGGCAGAGAGCTTGAGTTGCTAGATCTCTAGTTGCTAGTAACTTAAGGTCGTGGCCTCTTCCTCCTCCTTGCGTCTATAATCCTCAA